TGAAGATCACTTGCTTTGCTATTGCGGCATTTCTCTGTGCTGCTGGGGGAGAGCCCAATGACTCATCAAGTCAGGTGGTTGTGGCTCTGCTGTGTGTCTGGAATTGCTTTCCCCTCTGCAGCAGGCTTCCTCATCCTTCTATGCAGGGGCACCAGAAGGACACTTATTTCCTATGCTATGGTACTCAACTGCTGACTTCTGACTTTGCTTCGTTTGCCTTGTTTCTGCAAAACGTGGTAAGAATCTTTGTTTGTTAAATAATAGCCTTGGATTTTCTTCCTTTCAGTAAGGGGAATGTTCCCCAAATCACAGTAGGATCCTTATTTTGAAGAGATCTTTGTAATAGGGCAATTTATTCTGCAAATTATGGGACTGATCAACTGTTTGAAGCAAAAACATGGCACTGTAACAGAAAACAGGTTTTTCCTGCTTCTGCACCAAAAGCAGTATTTGGGGGCAGGAGGTGGGTTGGGAGAAATGTAGATAGAAAATTCAAGTTATTGTCCTTTATTATTAAGTGACTTTTTATGATTTAATAATTCATACATTAATCTGAGATGGCTCTGGAGCAAGTAACATTTTGTTTTCAGAAACATTTTGTACTCAGAAGTTACAGCCTTCCCGGCCTTCCTACACCAAACTCCCTGCCTCCTTCCATCTGTTCTCACTTCAGGTCATCTGACTCCTTTGTCCCCCTTGCCAAAGAAGTGGGAGCAATTTCCTTCTTGGCATAGGCTCTTTTGTGCATATGCTCTCGTGGCTCTGCTCAGTTTCCCCCCCACCCTCGCTTTGTCCTGCTCTTCAGCTAAACTGTGGGGGGAATCCCCTTATTTGTGAACACACAAACTTGTGTATTCTGCTCAAAGTCCGTAGTGCTGCTCTTTATAAAGACAATTTTCCCCTTATAACTTGCATAGGATACAAACTACATCTCTACTGATTGTAGAGGAATTAAAATTAAGCTAGTACACTTAGTAGGTGTGCTACTTCACTTTGTATGTGGGAGGCCTCTGAAAGGCTAGAAGAATTCAGTAGGTTTCCAAAATGGCTAGCTGCTTTGTTTTGTGAGGTTAGTAGCTACTACCTGCACACACATAAAGTACTCTTTAGCAAATTCCAATACACTTTAGGAAGTTCCCTTTCATCTTGGGACTAGCATAGCAGACACTGAAGAGTGTAGGATAAAACATCTCTGCCCTCAAAGACTTTGTCTAAAACTGGAATTCATAAAGCCAGTACACAAGTAGCAGAGAACAGTGCAGACAAATAGCAGAATGTTATGTTAAATTATGTTTGATGTTGAAAAACATATAGCCCCTTACAAAAGGGGTCAGCCTCACATTGGCTTTAGACTGTGTATGCTTTTGTTTGTAGCTGCATAAAACAAGCAATACATGTTTGTGTTTAAAAGCCGTCAGTGTAGATGGTAAAGATTAGGAATAAGATTAAATTTATCGGTGTGTTCATAGTAATGCCATTCCATGTAAATTGGCTTGGATGAGAAGTGGGAAAGGCCCCTCCTAAGGTGAGAGAGAGGAAGCAAAGCACCCCCAAGAAGAGATAATCGATGTAAGAGTGCCAAACTGTAGAGTGACTTCTATTAAGTGTTTCTTTACCTTCCTACAAGATAAACAGTTGCTTCAAACAGCAGTCAGTTGACCTCCAGGTTTTGATATGGATCAAAGAAAAAATAGGTTAAAATTAAACTGACCAATGTGCTTCTGCTCATTTGCTCATGTAGGTACATGAATAGTGACCCTTTTTCATGCAGGACCCTGTGCTCCTCTAATTGCCAGTGCTGCTAGTTCAGCCATAGGAGAATTTTAGCCCCTTAGTTGTTGCAACTCTGTAGGTAGTTTTGGTAGCAGGACTGTAGAGACAGTTGTGTATAGTATCTTAAAGGAAGTGTTTTGAGTGGAACACTTAGATCCGCTTTTGTCTGCAAAGAGCAGTTATGCTTGAGTTTTGCAGTGGGCTGGTGGTTCAGAGATTAATTTTGTGAGATCAGGATTGGTTCTGATCAGCTGTTTGACTGACTGCTTTGCGGGGGCCTCCCTCTGCTGTTTTGGGGGGAGAGTTTGAGGAATAAACAGTGAAAATTAAACCTGGCCTTCTGGTCCTAAAGAACAGGCAGCTTAAAGTATAAACAGCCATTATAGGGAGATTCAACAAATGTGTGACTATGGATCTTTTGAACTCTTAAATTATGAGCTTCAGTCCAGGCTGGTAGGGACTGAGTCACATTCAGCTGTTGGGGTGGCTGTTGTGAAATGAGTCAGTGGTGAACATCTTGCACAATTGGCTCTAGCAAGCACTGGAACCTGGAAAATAAAAAAAAGTGTTCGTTCAGGATAAGTTCTGGATCATGGGTCATCCTTGCCTTACAGAGGTGAGCCACCGACTTAAAATACCTATGCTGATAAAGTTATGGCTTTAAGAAAAGCAGATATCCACTGCCTACTGCTGCTAAAGCATACACTGAAAAGCAGTCCTTAAAAAATAAGAGATGGCAACATAGTTGTCTTCAACACTATGTAGAGGACAGATTTCAAGCCTGAATATGCCCCTCTGTATTTGCTGCCTTGCAGAGGGTGCTTGGTTGAAGTTAAGTTCTTTGTGACAGCTGTGAGTCTAAATGCACAGCTCATAATCCCTGAGCCAATGCTGCTTTGGTGTGTACTCCCTGTTGATATGCATTCTCAGACTAGAATCCTGTGCCTTTCCCAAGTGCTGTGTTAGAAATGCGTGGATAAAGGAGCAGTGGGTAGATGTTGCCTTGCAGTTGTCTGACACTGTTAAGTTTCTATGGTAACACAGGCTGAGATGAGGGCTGACGAAACAGAAGCGCGAACTACTCATCAGCAGATCAGCCAACCTGTCAGCTATAGGACAAGAATGAACAGAGAGATCTGTTTCTAAACAGCTTTTACTGTCCCAGCTGTTCAGCTTCTCTAAGCAGTTGTTGACAAGAGATGTCAGTCCATCTGTCAGCCCATCCATGTATTTAACTGTTGCAAGCTAGTTTTCTTTAGCTTTTTTTTCTGTAGAAATGCTCTATAGTTATCCACAGGTTTCACTGAGAGCAGAGATTGCAGAATATTGTTTAACTGAGAAGTATTTAGAGCTAGCTCTCATGCCTGCATGCCAGTGCTCACATTTTTTTTTTTATACTCAAAGTGCTACATCCAGTAGCACTGATGTGAGTGCTACAGTTTGAGATGGTATTACTTTTTGAGAGACTGCTGGTGTTGAAGCAGCCCCAGAATATTCTCTTATTCTGTCACAATAATCTCCGTGTTATGATGGGAGGTAGATGAAATGTGGAAGACAAAACAGGATCTCCAGTGTTTAAATAACCTGTTAGTGGTCTTGAAACTAGCCTGACAGCGTTATGACACCTTTGGACTATAATATATTTGTTCTATTCAGCAGTCTTTTGTGGAACCTGTTTTGATGGGTTTTTTTTTTGACTTTTTGTTTTTGTTGCTTGTTTTTTAATGAGTCACTCTCTAAATTTAAATAGCTTTGAAATTGGAACAAGTAAATGTTTCAGGCTACATACCTTGAAAATTCTTTGGTCTTTCTTCTGATTGGAAAAAAAGAGAGAAGGGAGGAAGAAGAGTTTTACACACGTCTGCTGTGCAGAAATGACTTTTTTCCTCTTCCTCCTGTGTAGCTGAACAGGCAAAATGGATTTCTCCAAGCTACCCAAAATCCGTGATGAGGACAGAGAGGCTTTTGTTGGCTATGTCCATGGTGTCTCGGGACCAGGTAGGTATTATATGACAGAGGAAACTGTAAGTTCTATTTCATCTGCTGGTTTATGAGATTTTCCTATTCACAAGAACTGCTTTGCAAGAAGCTCTGGTTGATTTTGCTTTTTGAGAAGGACCACTGACTGTGTCATGCCCTGATGAAGAGTGAGATGTACTACCCTGTTTTATATAAGTAGAAAATATATTTTTATGTAAGAATGTGAACACTGTGTGCAAAACTTGTATTGTATAAAAGGCATAGTTTTTAGTAAAACAGCTAGGCCTTATTTAGAAGCTAACGTGTAATCTGCTGAAATCTAACTCAAAATTATAGGAGATTTCACATGAGAAGTCTCTTTTAAAATGGTGAAGATTAACTTACATGTTATAATATATTAATCATTTTTATACAAAACGAAACATCAAAATAGCATTTCCTTGAAGTCTTTATAGCCACTGTCACTCTACATGCAATTGTATTGTCTTTGAGTGCCTTGAATTGATCTATACAGTTTAAAATAGCATCCAAATGCTACTGAAGTACATAAAAATCTATGAAAAGTCTGAAAATGCTAATCCTCAGCCACAGCTTTCAGTAGGCTTTATAAGATGAGCTTTTGCTATTTTTCTTGTGTTTTTCATTTAGATGGGGATGCAGCCTGGATAAATTAAAGAATATGCTGATATAGCATAATGTCTGTCAGAATCCTAGGTGTATGTTATCTGGTTCTCGTTACCTTCTGAAGAGTAAATTTACAGAACCACAGAAAAATATTGACCCAGGTGTCTGTTTTCTGCAGTGGTTACGGCTTGTAACATGGCAGGTGCTGCTATGTATGAACTGGTACGAGTAGGCCACAGTGAACTGGTTGGGGAAATTATCCGTCTGGAAGGTGATCTGGCAACTGTCCAGGTATATGAAGAAACATGTATCCTTTTCACTAGTCCCTTGGGGCTTGACAGACTCTGCAGAACGCTGACTATAATGAAGATAAGAGCTCAGTATTCCCAATGCCTGCAGGCAGCAACATCTGCTCTGCACATCTTCTGTAAATTCTAGAGCTTTTCAGGTAGATCTTATTAACTTTGCAGTGTGCTGAGGAGGCTTTTTGTTTTGCATGGAAATGAAATAATTTAATACTTAAATTAAAATGAATTTGAATTCTTGTAGTTCTTTGCTGAGCATGCTGCTTGAAAAATATTAACCATAAATGGCAAAACTACCAACCAGTATTTTTGTATGTATTTTAATTTGAAAATAGTGCTTGGAGAGATTTGAAATGTAAAAGTAGGAAGGAAAAGTGAGGATTCTTGAACAGGCTATTTTACCAGACATAGTGGATTACACCTGTGCTTTTTTATTGTAAATATAGATTCTTGTTCTGGCTACGACACAGCCTGTGTTTTCAAATTGAGTTACTTGTAATAGAAAATATGTTTTATGAGAGAATGTTGGAGAGGAAGTCATTAAATTCAAAGTTGGATTATCTTTTTATCTTCTTGTCATCTTCTAAAATTTGGCATGTGCATTAACAGTAGAAGGAAGACTGTGGTGACTCCTAAATCTTTGTTTTGAGGAGCCTGATGGTAAACTGGTAACCAGCTGTTATCTATACTTAATAGTTTGTCACTTTATATGGCATCATCATTGTAATATCAAGTAGCCATCCATCAGTGTGTTGGACAAGTCTAGTGTTTGATTATCACTTCTCATCAGGAATCTGAGACAGTGAAGGCTTTTGAAAGTCAACTTCCATCTAATCTATCAAGTTTTGCATATGCTTATGGTGGTTTGTCTTGTTTCTGAGAGTATTTGCAGGCTCTTTCCACAGAAATCTACTGTGCATCTTTTAAAGTGTAAATGGTGCATAGACTGTAGAAATTATCAGAGGCAAGAGAAGTAATATTAACTTAGGACAAACTTCCTGTAAAATTATACTGCTGTCAGAAAAACTCTGCAAGGCTCAGTTAAAACCCTTATGATCTCCAAAAAATTCTGAAAACTATGCATTTCATATCACTGGAAGACTTTCTAACAATAAAATCAGATTTCTAGGTTTAATGGGTTAAGACAGATGCCTGATGTTTTGTCATGCTGCTGCATTGCCATTCAGTAAGCTTACCTATATAGTTAACTTGAGTTGTGCTTTGCTTCTCTGGAGGTTGGGAACTTTGCCTTAGCAATTTCAACTTGAGCTTAGTGTAAAGCGTGAGTTTAGTGAAAGATGGTGGGTAATAATAAAAATACTATGTTTAGTAAAAGATTGCTTAGCAACATGTTGTTGCGAATGTGATGCTTTCTGCCCTGCTACTTTTTTCTCTTTCTGTGGGTGAACTTTTCCTCAAACAAACCTTTAGCTGGTGTCTCTGTAGGAGATCCTGTACTCCGTACAGGCAAACCCCTGTCAGTGGAACTAGGGCCTGGCATTATGGGAGCTATTTTTGATGGAATCCAGAGGCCTCTATCGGACATCAGTGCTCTCACCAAAAGTATCTATATCCCTAGAGGTGTCAATGTGTCAGCTTTGAGCCGAGATGTCAAATGGGACTTCACACCTTCCAAAAACTTACGGGTAGGTTCAGACAAGCTTATTTTTTCCCTCTTGCCCCTCTCCCTTGAGAAAACCCATTCATTGTGCTTTGTAGTTGCAGCAAAGTGCAGAGGATGAAACTCCTGAGAACTATGGATACAGTGCATTAAATTTGTGAAAATAGACACTGGCAGGTGATGGGGGTGCATGAATGAGGATTTGAAAGAGGTCACCAAGGTTTGTGTAGTGTGACTTACTGTGAAGTCTGGAAAACTTAATGTTTTTTCAGTACCACAAAGATGTAGTAGAATTGCACTAAGCCTATCCAGCTGTTACCTGAGCAAAAAGCAAAAACTTGCAACACAGATATTTTCAAAATAGTGAAGATGGCCTTGCTGCTGAAAAATACAGTATCTTTAGTCTTTGATCTCTTCCTTTTTCCAGCCCTATGGGTTAGTATATGCTGTCCTGCCTCTAATTTAAATGGAGAGGTATAGGAGAAGTGAAGAGAATTCCCTGTGTCAGTCGGTAATTGCTGCTTTTTGAGCCTTGAATTGCTCCTCAACGCAGATAATATTGCTAGCAAAAACATAGCTAGAGTGTAATGAGTTATGCAAATGGACTACGATGCTGCAACTGTGCATTTATAAAGGAAGTAATCACAGTGCTAGACTTAATAGCTATTTTTTATACAAATCTTTAACAAGATTCTGTTTTAAAGCTGGAATTCTCACTTACAACTAATAGATTCTTTTTTTCTCATTTTTAGGTTGGCAGCCACATCACTGGTGGAGATATTTATGGTGTAGTGAATGAAAACTCACTCATCAAACACAAAATTATGTTGCCCCCACGGAACAGGGGTACAGTTACATACATTGCTCCACCAGGAAACTATGACACCTCAGTAAGTTTCCCAAACAGCAGTTATCAGGATATTCCATGTTGCTTTCATGAAGTGGATGTACGTGTTTTGTTTGGTATGAGGCCAAATAAGTATTCTAAGCAGCAGGGATTTCATGATTGTCTTGTGAAGTTGCTTTCTGTGTATATGGTTCCCACAGTGGCACTTCAGCATGCTGTGTTTATTATCTTGTGTGCAGAACTACGGTATTCTGTGAACATGAATAATTCAATTGCTCCTCAGTTGCATATTTGTAGCTAAAGCTTTATTGTGCACTCATTTTCCCTATAGTACTATAAATGTTGGAAAGTGCTTTCCTTCTGGTATGGATGGTGATAGGTTGAAGTTCTGAAAAATCTGTGCTGGGGTGAAAGACCTAGCTGTGCAGTGCTGTTGGGGTGAGAACTTGCATGGTAATGCAGCATATAGCTGTTTTCTTAAGTCTGCTGATATCTTTAGGATGTTGTCTTAGAGTTGGAGTTTGAAAGCGTGAAAGAGAAGTTCACTATGGTTCAGGTCTGGCCTGTACGTCAAGTCCGTCCCGTTACTGAAAAGTTACCAGCCAATCATCCTTTGTTAACTGGCCAGCGGGTCCTGGATGCGCTCTTCCCGTAAGTCCCATCTGAAACCTGGGAAACTTTTATGTTCTAATATATAAGAATTCTTTTTGCAAGGGAGGGGAAATGATTTAGAAAGGGAGGAAAGAGGGACAAGCAGACCTCAAATGTGCTTTATGCACTACAGCATAATCTCAAAAACATTCAGTCAAAGTACTTATGTTTTTGTCTGACAAGAGAATCTCCAGTAAAAAAAGGAAGAAGGTACAAGAAGATAGTTCTAGTGAGCATAATCCAGAAAATAATTGACAAGTGCAAACTTAAAATAATGATGTGGGTTCTACAGAAAAGTTGTGACTTTCAAGCATAGCACACGAGCAGGATCTCTTTCCATGATGTTGAGGATAGTTTCCATTGATTTTTGGAGTCATGGCTTATGAAAACCAGAGTGCTTAAACCAATATCCTTACATGTTGTTAAGCACCCAGCTTCTAGGGCACCAAGTTCAGTTAGCTTGGTACTAAAATATTATGCTCTTTCTTAAAATGCTTATTTTAGTACATTTGATGTTCTCTGTGTTTTCTCAATGTTTCCAGCTGTGAAATTTGCTTTGTGTTTCTAGCCTGACAGTCTACTCATTATCCCAGTGTAACTTGGAAACTTTAAGGGCAGTAGAAGGAAAGATTAGTTTGTTCCCTGAGTCTGAGTGAAATACCTCAGCGCTTCTTACTCAGAATACTGAATGTGACTCTTAGCATTCTGCTCTCATTTAGGCAGCTTTATTAGAAAACATTCTAATAAGCATTTTTGTTTGTTTTGGAGCTCCGTGTATATCAGAGTCCCTTTTCTTTACCCAGGTGTGTACAAGGGGGTACCACAGCTATTCCTGGGGCCTTTGGCTGTGGGAAGACTGTGATCTCGCAATCTCTCTCAAAATACTCCAACAGTGATGTCATCATTTATGTAGGTTGCGGAGAGCGAGGAAATGAAATGTCTGAGGTACTGAGAGATTTCCCTGAGGTTAGTATGAAGAATTCTAGAAAGTGATTTTTTCTAGAGGGACTGGCTGTTGTAGTGCTATTGCATCTGGATAAATATCTTACTTTGTAGTGACTTGAAACAATCTTCTTGGCTCTTCTGCTGTAAGTTTTGGCTGTAGTAACAGAAATCACTTTTGGATCGTTCAAGAATGACTTAAACATCTGGACTAGTATTTGGGTATACCACCTTGTTTTAATACAAAGCCAAAATAGATGCCTGTGTAATTTAGCAGAGTGCTAAGGATATTACTATTTATTAGTAATGTCTCTAATGTTTTACCTTAACCAAGTATAGCAAATGCATCATCTTTATTTGTAGGATGTAGAGTAATGGTACAAACCACTACAGGATACCAGTTTTATGTTTTAGACTTTAGAATACCTTCTAAAAGAAATTGTAAACCTGATGAATAATAAAGAAATACGATAGGTTTTATCTGTAGGTAAATGTTACTGAATTAGCATGGCAAAATTCTTCTATAAAACTAGAGAAAGTGCATAGGCTGGACTGTTGGCTTGACATGTCACTGTTAGAAATAAGTAAGATTTTAGGTGCCTTTATAAGGTAAGCGTGTCAAGGTGGCCATGAAAAATGTAAATCCAAGGATATTCTCAAATAAAATTTTATACCAGTATCAGCATGTGCATTCTATTGTTCAGGTGCTCAAAATACTTCATTTTTGGCAACCAGACATGAAATGACATATATAACTCAGACGAACTCAGATCAGCATATGGGAGAAAAGCTCTATGCTCTGCAATGAACTTGCAAGAAGCTAAGATTTTTGACTTAGAGCCTCATGAATTTGTCCCATTTGTACCTAGTTTTTTTCTGGTGAGAGATGGGCTTATAGGGACTGGTTATGGCATTATAGTTGCAGCAAATGAGATGAGATATGCTGCCTACAGCTTGGGAGACAAAGCAGTGTAAAAGGTTAAAATCTCGAATCTGGTCACTGTTCTTTTTAGACTAGGTATGAGGAGAGTCTGGTGGAATGAGGAGACCAATGTAGCAAAAAATTGACGAAGTTGCCTGTTTTTTCCTTGTTTTTTAGTTGACAATGGAGGTTGATGGTAAGGTAGAAAGCATCATGAAGAGAACAGCTCTAGTAGCAAATACCTCCAACATGCCAGTGGCTGCTAGAGAGGCCTCTATCTATACTGGTAAGATTTATTAGAGTGTCATAAAGGCATGTGTGTAGAGCCGCATTCTCTAGTATTTTTCAGTTCTTGAGGTAGTGGGTGTAAGGAAACCTTTCTAGGATTGAAGAATTAGTGCTAAATGTAGCCTGTGTGAAGTCATAGTTTTGTAACTGCATTTGACTTGCTTGTATGATTTCCAACTGTCAAGTTAATTCTTTATTATAAGTGAATTTATCACGCCATGTCTCATGTACTGTGTCCTCATATTAATTATAAACTTTGATTCTTTGTGAATAGTTTGTTGACAAATACAACCTTTTAACAAATAGGAGCAGCATTTCCTGAGTTGACAGGTTAGCCTTTTTTCCTTTTGCAGCTCATTAAAGGTTTTTAAATACTTTTTATAGAGTTGTTGGATAATTTATGTCTCCTTATGTTTGGATTCTGGTCACTTGAAAGGGAAGGAGATGCTTTTACTGTAAGCAAAGGCTTTTGTGTAAAGAATAGCATAAATGAAGTGGCTCTGTCACTTATGAGACTTCTAGTAGTTGATAAGCAGAAATGGGAGGAGAGCGAGAGTAATTGGGAAGATGATGAAAATGGTTTTGTGGACAAGATAGAATAGCTTTTGGTTGCGGCCATCAGAATCTAAACTTAAGCCTTTGCAAGTTAATCACTTGTCTCTAAGTGATAATATATGAGTCTGGAATTCCTGTCTGAATTGTATCCTGCAATATACTGCTGTCTTTGTTCTAGGAATCACATTGTCCGAGTATTTCCGAGACATGGGCTACCATGTGAGTATGATGGCAGACTCTACTTCCCGATGGGCTGAGGCCCTCAGAGAAATCTCAGGCCGACTGGCTGAAATGCCAGCTGGTGAGTAGTGCGTGGTGGTGGTTGCTTTGTTGTTTTGAGGGGGAAGGGGTGATGGTTTGGTTTGTTTGATTTTTTTTTTTTTTCCCGCCCCCCCGCCCCCCGTCCCCTCCCCTCCTTGTCCGCTCCCCAAATTTCATCTTGTGACTTAACACTTAAATTTGGAATCTTTGACTGTTTTTGTGTTGGCACTTGCAGACAGTGGTTATCCAGCCTACCTTGGTGCCCGTCTGGCCTCTTTCTATGAGCGAGCTGGCAGAGTGAAGTGTCTGGGAAATCCTGAAAGGGAAGGCAGTGTCAGCATTGTTGGAGCGTGAGTGTTACATTACTTTGGACTGCTAGTCTTTCTGTGTGATTTTGTTTTTTGAAGCACCTATTTTGGTGGGGTTATGGGAGGGTCTTGTTGCTGTGTCTGTGAATGAGTAAGTAGGTGCTTTGCATCTCTTCACTCTCAGTCCCTGCAAAATTGTGCATATGGGCAGAAAGAATGAATGTGAACAGGTAGTTCTGTGAAATATTGAATTCGTCACTTGCAGTGATGAGAGCAAGTGGCTCAGAGAAAGCCATCAGTAGCACTGTCTCTGAAAAGTATGTCAAAGCATGCCCAGCAGGAAAGAAGGGGCAGTTAGCAGAGCAGCAGTGTTCATGTGCGTGTGGAGGTATAAAGAATTGTGCTTCACTTATTTAAATGAAGTAGAATTAGTGGGGCTGACATCTCAAGCTGTAATGGGCTGTGAAAAGCACTATTTCCTCAGACATATAATTTATGGTGCATTGAAATATGTGAAATGTGAGCACTTCAAATTTGAAACGTGTTCCTCTCGTGTTGACCGTGTGATGACAGTTCCGAATCCCTTCTCACTGATCACTACATTACAGCAAAAGAATTATAAAAAGAAAGGGGGGAGAAAAATCAGAGGATGAAAAATGAGGCAGATGCTCTTGAAACTGTTGGGGCAGAGGAGGGAAAAGGAGCCATCATCACCTTCAAGATCACCTAGAATCTCTTCTGATGAGTTCTGCTTTCCACTATAGAAGCACACATGTGCAGCTGCTTTTGAGGTTGAAAGCCTTTCAGGGGCAAGACTGTATTAGGATGTCAAGCCTAAATGAATTTAAAGTGGTTATTATGTAGATGAATATATGATATTTATCTGAAATAACAATTGGCCTGGCAGACTGTTCACCATGAAATAATCATTGTGGTATGTTTTAAGTTGTGCTGTCAGCATGCTTACTGAATCTGTTCTGGTTGCGGTATGGTTTCATCCTCCGAACCTGGAGGTAAAGTGACTGGTTTATATATCAGTAACTGACTGGCAGTGTCAAGATAATTGTATTGTATGGCATATTTGATGTATGCCTTGTGGAAAGGTATCAAATATTATGCGGGAGAGGGCTGTAATCTATTACTGGTTTTGAATGGTGTTGGCTACTCTGGTTTCCATGATCACTGGGACGTATAGTCATGTTTTGGAAATTTCGGCTTAAATTCGAGAGAGCAAATCTTAAAGAGTTTTTCTTCTCTGCTTAGTGTCTCTCCCCCAGGTGGTGACTTCTCTGACCCTGTCACATCTGCTACTTTGGGCATCGTTCAGGTATGTTCCTTTATATTACAGAGGAACTTCAGGAAAAATTTCTTAACAGTGAGGGTGACAGAGCACTGGAACAGGTTGCCAGGAGAGGTTGTGGAGTCTCCTTCTCTGGAGATCTTCAAAACCCACTTGGATGCAGTCTTGTGCCACATGCTCTAGGTGACCCTGCAGAGGGGTTGGACTAGATGACCTCTAGAGGTCCCTTCCAACCTTAAGTGTTCTGTGATTCTATGATCTGTCCAGTTTTGATAGACTCAAAGTGATTGTCCTCTAGCATTTTAGTGCTGGTGGCTGTGCTGTGAGAGCTTTAATTTGACACAGGCAATTTTATAAGGCTTTTAAAAATGTTTTAACAGCATAAAAGATGACCTCATGAGATGGTCTTTAGACTGATATGTTTGAGACTCTTTTGGAAGCAGTACCAATTTCTTCCATGCTGGCTGCTCAGGAAGATTTGTTTTTCTTGATTCCTGCCTACTGAACTGCACTTTCAATATGGCCACTTTCAGCTAGGATGCAAAGTGAACCAGTCTGAACAGAAGCATTGAAACCATGAGCAAATCCTCTGAGCAGTTGACTGGGAGAAGGGAATCTTGCAACTGTTTTTCTATCCCTGGTTTGGGAAAAGGGAGTTCTATTTAACAGGCTCTCAGTTAATTAGATTCCAGTATTGATGTTATCTCCAGCAGTGTTGACTTCTCCATCATGAGGAATCTCAAGATGAAGAAACCATTTTCAACTTAAAATATGTACTTTTGGAAAGTATATATTTGAAAGCTCCTGGTATAGTTAAGTTAGTGTAAGGAAGGGCTCTCCCACCCCCCTGGGTTTTTGTCTAAAGACTTACAATAGCCTTTGCTCTGTTGTGCTTGCTTACATATGCCGTGTTGAATTTTGCATTATTTTCAATTAATTATTCTATTGTTTCGAAGAGGAGGGACACTGCTTCATCTCTCTGATTTGACAGGTTTTCTGGGGCCTGGATAAGAAGCTGGCACAGCGCAAGCACTTTCCCTCTGTCAACTGGCTGATCAGCTACAGCAAATACACACGTGCCCTGGATGAGTACTATGACAAACATTTTACAGAGTTTGTCCCCCTCAGGACAAAGGCCAAAGAGATCTTACAGGAAGAAGAGGACCTTGCAGAGATTGTGCAGCTTGTGGGGAAGGTAAATATCCATGTTTGAGGAAATGTTGTGTCAGTGAGCTATCCTCCATTTCCTTACTGCTTGCATGAACTGTGCACCATGTCCTAGACCAGACCCGCTGCGCTAGACCAGACACTGTGCACACATTTGACAGTAATATAACCCTGTGATGTTCAGCTGAGCTGTGTTGGCCTTTACGGTGGTATTAATATATGATAACATGTGTTAACTACAGTGGTTTGGAGAAAGCTGGATCCTGGTGCTCTTCCCGTTCACTGATATTCTAGCCAAATGAAGATGGCTTGCAGTATAATTAAACTTAACAGAACTCTCTTCTCCTTACCTCTTAGAAGGAGAGGAAATGTGATCTTAGCCTTCCATGGTTTATTTACCCAAAAAAAAAAAAAAAATCTAAAAGACCAGTCTGTAGAACAATCAGGTCCTCAGTGTGTAATTAGTGATTGAACAAGCATTAACTAACAGTGATAAGCATTATTCTCCCTGTAGAAGTACTAGAGTACTAGAAGCACTAGAGTTGATGATCTTGTGTTCCAAGATCTAATCTTTTTAAGAGTTCCTTTTGATCAGGCATTGGCTACCAAGAACAACAACAACAAACATTTAGAAAGGCGAAGTTGTGGGGAAACAATGTTATGGGAAATCATGGGAAAACAATGTTACATTTTCTTACCTCTGAATTCTGTCAAAGTCTCCTGACAAGAACAGAGTCCAAAATTCCTGTCTAGTTAGCAAGCTGGGACACTGTGTATTTTGTCTTTTATCAAAATAAAAATACAGGTTGGTAAGGGTGACCTATGGTGCCAGGTTGCAGTGTTGTAGCTTTTCTGTGCAATATTGCAATATATAATAGTCACACACACACACACACACACATATATATATAGTCATCAAATGCCTTTTATGAAATGCAAAACACAAATTCATTGCTAAATCCAGAGGCCCAAATACATTTTACTAATTTATAAAAAGTATTAAAATGCTGAAATTGCCTTTTCTTTCATGAACATAATGATTTGAGGAAGGAAAAAATAATTTTGTATATAAGATAATGTTTCCATATGCCTCATAGCAGAGCTGTGTGTGGTTTTCAGTGGCTCTCATACCTGGAAGTGAACTTGTTTGTTTGTTTGGGGGGAGGGTTCGTTTGCTTGGAGGGATTTTGTTTGTTTTGTTTTCCTTAAAATCAGATAGACTTAGACTTATTGACTGTTTGACCATTCTTAATCTTGCTGTTGAGCAGATTGGCAGCTATGTAGCAGGAAAACATATAAAAGATGGGAATCTTCTGGAAGCCATCTTAAGAGTCAAGGGAAGAAGATGGTTGCTGATTAAAGATAGTGGTTCTTGTCCAGGACACAGCATGGCCTTGCATACTGTAGTAATGATGTATTTGACTTTTCTAGGCTTCCTTGGCAGAAACAGATAAAATCACCTTAGAAGTTGCTAAGCTGATAAAAGACGACTTCTTGCAACAGAATGGTTATACACCTTATGACAGGTGAGATCTAAATGGCCACTCTGCCCTCTGTATTCTGTATTTAGACAGTTACTTGAAAACAGGTTAGTGCAGAACTAAATTGTTCTTGCCATAAACAAGCTGAAGAACTGCGTGTAGGTAGGATATTGTGCAATGTTCAAAATGTCCTATCAGCAGGGTGTGCTTTTACCTAAGGCAGTTACTCCCCATTTTTCTTGGGTTCATTGGTACTACTCAGCTGGACAATGTTTCTGCAATATGAAATTTCTTAGAAGGAGGAGAGGAGGTGCATTTAATTACAGTTTTCTCAACACCCAAGATTCTTATTTATCCTAGCAATGAATGGGGGACTGCAAGAAACTGCTTTCAGTCACCATTGGGATTCTTGAACAGTTTTCATCCATCAACAATTTGCTGGACCTTTCTCCACTTAGTGCCATGTTCATTATCTCTACTCTGCTTCTTTCTATGCCATCTTTGTGTATGCCAAGAGGCATTTTGAGCTTTGTCTTGTTCCACAGCCTGGGCAGATGGAGTGATTTTTGAAGTGTTTAATTTCCCATATCATAAACCTACATCATTCTGCAGTGGTCTGTCCTTTAAGTGGGTTACTAGAGCAGTTATGCTTATATAAAACTGGGAACCACAGACAGTAGCATAATAGAGTATATAAATAAAAGTGAGGTACCTTCCATGGCAGTGATCTCCATTAAGAAATTTCTTGTTTGTGGAGCCTCTACAGTGGTCTTGTCATATAAATCATGGAATCATTATGGTTGGAAAAGACATTCAAGATAGTCCAACCATAAATCCATTGCCACCATGCCTGGTAAACAATGTCCCTGAGCACCTCATCTACATATTTCTTGAACACTGCCAGGGATGGTGACTCCACCACTTCCCTGAGCTCCAATCTTTCACTACTCTTTCCATTGGGATTTTTTCCTAATATCTAATCTGAACAATTTACCCTGGCTCAACTTCAGGCAGTTTTCTTTTGTCCTATCAGCAGTTAGTTTGGAGATCAACCCCTCCCTCACTACAACTTTCTGGTAGTTGTAGAGAGTGATAAGGTGGTTTCTGTGCCTCCTCTTCTCCAGACTGAATAACCCCAGCTCCCTCAGCCTCTCCTCACAAGGTTGGTGCTCCAGCCCCTTTACCAGCTTTGTTGCCCTTCCTTGGACATGCTCCAGTACCTCAATGTCTTTCTTGTAATAAAGAGGCCCAAAACTGAACACAGTATTCAAGGTGTAGCCTCACCAGTGCTGAGTACAGGGAGACAATCATTTCCCTAGTCCTGCTGTCTACACTATTCCTTATACAAGCCAGGAGGCTGTTGGCCTTCTTGGCCTCTTGGGCACACTGCTGGCTTGTGTTCAGCTGGCTGTCAACCAAGACAAGATGCCCTCAAGATGATCTGCTCCATAATTTTCCTTGACACTGAGGTCAGGCTGACAGGCCTGTAGTTTCCCAGAGAAACTGTAGATGGATGTCGCACTGTCAAGTCTCTGGTCACCTAGGACCTCCCCAGGTAGTCAGGATCACTGACAGATTATGGAAAACTGTTTGGTGAGCTCTTCCGCTATATTATCCAGAATCCTTGGGTGGATCCCATTTGGCCCTATAGACTTGTGGGTGTCCAAGTGGAGTAGCAGGTCACTGAGTGTTTCCCCCTGAATTATGGGGGGTGGGGAGAGGTTATTCTGCTCTCCAAAGGTGTCTTCCAGCTCAGGGGCCCAAGTACCTTGAGGATAATTGATCTGGGTGTTAAAGACTGAGGCAAAGAAGGCTGAGGTATGTGATACCTTATCTTCATCTTTGGTGGCAGTGTTCCCTGCGGCATCTAATACAGGAAGGAGATTCCCCTTGGCCCTCCTCTTCTTGTTAATGTATTTGTAGAAATGTATTCTGTTGTCTTTTACAATAGTGGCCCCTTCTTCCAAAGGTGGCAAACCCTTTGACCTTTCCGCCCGCTTTCCCCAAATCTCAGCAATAGGTCCTTATTCAGACAGGCTGGTGGCCTTTCCCTCTGGCTTGTCTTTCAGCCCATGGGGACAGCCTGCTCCTGTGCCTTTAAGAGTTCCTATTGAGAAAAGTCTAGCCTTCCTGGCCCACTTTGTTCTTCAGGACTCTCTTCCAAGAGACTCTCCTAACCAATGTTCCAAACGGTCAAAAGTCTGTCCTCAAAGTCCAACATAACAGTTTTGCTGACGCACCTCCTGACTTCACGAAGAATCGAAAACTATCATTTCATGGTCACTATGCAAAGACCTCCACCACCTCCAACCTCCACATCTCCCACCAGTTCATTTCTGTTGGCAAAGAGCAGGTCCAACTCCCCTGTTAGGCTCTCTTACCAGCTATGACAGGAAGTTGTCTTCCACACACTCCATGAACCTCCTAGACTGTTTCCTTTCTACCATGTTGTATTTCCAACAAACACCTGGTAGGTTCAAGTTCCCCATGAGAACAAGGGCTGCCATTGGTGAGACTTCTGCTATCTCCTTGTAGAATGCTATGTCTGTATCTTCCACCTGGTTGGGTAGTCTATAGCAGACTCCCACCAGGATATCAGCCTTGTTGGCCTTGCTGACCCATAAAACACTCAACTTTTGCAATAACCTCTTGGAGCTCCGTAAAATTGAAGCACTCCCTAATCGCTTCCTTTTCTGTGAGCAAGGAAACTTGCAGAGCTGCTATGTTCTCCCAAACTTCTTGGAGGAAGCCTATTCCCATAATGGTTGAAATAGAGAGTCCTGTTAACAGGACTGCTCTGGTGTTTCCCCTTTCTCATGAAGATTGACACAGATTAAAATGTGAAACTTGTGTAGTGATGGTTCCTGCTTTCTTTTCCTGTTTTGGCTAGTGTTTGGGTGCTGTTTCAGAAACCTTACTTCAGGGTGGTTATTCAGTTATGAATGGTGATTATAGCATAGTATGGTATAGGTCCAATAATGCACCTATTTAAAAATGTAGTACCTATTGCATCCCAAAGGAAATAAACTGCCTTGATGAAAAATGTCTGGAGGAAACTAGGTTGGCACTCTTTGTTTCAGATGAGAATCCAGAGAGAGTTGTGAAGGCAGGCACAAAAGCTAATCCTGTTAACTGGTCCCAAACATCTGACAGCACCTCTCCTGTTTCATCAGATTCTGCCCTTTCTATAAAACGGTGGGAATGCTTTCCAATATGATTGCTTTTTACGATATGGCACGCCGTGCTGTAGAAACCACAGCCCAGAGTGACAATAAGATTACATGGTCCATCATTCGAGAGAACATGAGTGAAATCCTCTACAGGCTCACATCCATGAAATTCAAGGTATGTTTGTCAGGAGGGGCAGCCAGTGTCTGCCTGCTCTGCCCGCAGGTTGGCAATACTAGAAAAGGGATCTGGGTTTGAACTGTTTTTTGGGATCTTTCAATGCCTCTAAAAGGCTGCTATGCAAAGATTAGTCATCAATCTCCTTAGGTAAATGTCTGTGAACAAAAACCTTTATCAATAATATGAACACATTTAAGAACTGGTTTTAGTTAGTGAGTATAGAACACTAACAAGTGTTCTATAGTTAGAACACTTACTAGCAAGTTTCCTGAAATTTAATCATGTGATGTTGGCTGCAGAGCCTGGCAACCGCACCTTTACCAGTCTTTTTTTAGGTTATGTACATTCATGGTAATGGCAAAAGCTCCTTGTTTAGGTTTGGGGCTCTTTGTGGTGTTTGTGAATTATGGTACATTCCAAGAAGATTGTGTTAGCAGGTAAAAGCTTAAAACAAAGCCAGGAATATGCTAAAAATGAATTACAGAAGTGTTAATCTAGCAATCGCAAGTAGAAGTTAAGGAAAGAAATAATAGCTTGCTGCAGTAATATGTGGTGTCTCCTGTGGTTAGCTTTACACATAAGGAAGGTTAACTAGGAAGAGAAGCAATTTCATCATGGGCTAAAGAGTGACAAAGTTGCTCAGAGCAGCTGTGCTGGATAACGTCAGCAGCCATCTTTTTGCAGCTTTAAAATTACCCAGAGCATTTCAGCCTAGCAGTTATGGGCAGAATAGTAACTTCTGATGCTGTCTGATGTTAAAGCGGCTTAAAAAAGTTCTCTTCAAAGTACGAGGCTAATTTTGTTAGTTAGGGTAATATTGCAAATCTTTCAAGTATCATCAGACAGTTGCTTGTTAAACTACCAATGTTCAGGTATGCCAGTGTATCTCACTCCTGCAGTGTACTGGCTTGTTACTGCATGTTAATCAGATTCCTGGTATATATTCTCAAAGCATCAGGAGTGTGAAAAGCTATACATACAGTTAGACATAGGAACTTCTTTGAGAACTGGTTATGTAGACAGAGGTGAAGTAAAATGCTTTCAGCAAACCCTAGCCACCAGAAGACATCCAGTATAGAACAGAGTAGTGGACAGCATGACTAAAAACAGGATCTAAAAGATGACTACATGTTAAGTGGAGAAACTTCCTAATACAGTAATATTTATGAAAGCTTTATTTCTTGGATGGAATATAAAGAAAGGGGTATAAGAATTTAAATGGCCTGTCTCTTGTGGTGTGTATATTTTGGAGGGACAGTGAGTGGTCTAGGTACCTCTCTGTTTCCCAGTAGCTGTGAGGGAAATAGTGAAATACTGATCAGATTTTGCAGCTTGACCACTGTCACTTCCCCCAGGCAAGGTGGAGATGGCGTTATACCTGCTTTGCAGTTAGCAGGTGTAAATCCTGAGGACAAAAAGTTACAGCACTAGCAAAGCAGGACTGTCTTAAGGAAATGAGGTTTTTCAAGACTGATTTGTTCATTTGGTATGTTGCCTTTCAGGACCCTGTCAAAGATGGTGAAGCAAAAATCAAGGCAGACTATGCTCAGCTGTTTGAGGATATGCAGAATGCATTTCGCAGTCTGGAAGACTAGACTCTGCCTCTGTGACCACTCCAGTTTGTCCTCTCAATTCTTCATCTCAACTCCTCAGCTTCCCTACCTTGCCAGATTGATGCAACAGTACTTGAGTTAAAATAGTCTATGTTTGCTTGTTCATACTTCTTGTCTTTACAAAACATTCCTTTTAGTTTGTGTTCGGCCTTTTGTGTGTCTGAAATGGTGAGTGAAGTGTGAATGAGCCTGGCTGAGTGAGGAAATATTGTATGCTTCTAGGGTGGGAAACACTTTACCTTGCCCTCTCTTGGTGATGGGGTTTTTACCTTGAAAAGAATCTAATTCAGCTGTACTGGCACAGGAGATATACGCTTTAATGCAGTCATGTGGTACACTTTGAGCTGGGGAGAGTAAGGGCATTTAGGTCTAGCACTTTTGCTAAGTGACTATCATGACTTAAACACCCTATTCCTCAACATTTTTTTTTTACCATATTTTGTGATGTGTTGATATAAGCAAAAAGTAACATAAATTCCTCACTACCCTGTCCCTTCCACAACTTAAGAGCTGAGGTGGTTGTTGTTAAAATGTGATAGTTCTGGATTATCAACAAGAAGGAATTTGCTAGAAGATGAGCATACAAATAGCCAGTATGCTGCTGTACACTGGAGAAACAATTTTATTTTCCTACTTTACAATCAGATAGGACTGTTGGACTCTCCATCAGCTAAAATGAAAACGATAGCTACTCAGCTTTCAGCAGACTGTGTTTCCTTCGCTTCCAATTCACCCCATAAAATTTCATGTCAGCTGCTTTTTTAGTAGGTGAAGTTTGTTACAGCTGCTTTATATGACATAACAAGCTGTGGTAATTCCACTTATGTGGACCAGGAATAAAGTCCTAAATGATGCTCTGTTTGCCAATACACTTGCCTTCCTGTGCAATATCCAGGTCCTTTTTAGAAAAAGGAAGCATGTGCTTAACCCTGTTCTTCTACCATACTAGCATACACAATTTGTGTGGCTGTGAGACAACACATCTTCAGTCCTTGTGTAAAAGGAATGTATGATGCTAAATTGCTGCAGGAGGGAAGGAGAAGTTGGAGGAGTACAGAATGTATTTACTTCTCACTTGTGGATTGTGATACCAGGGGACCTCCTGCACTGTGCTCCAGAAGCACTATCAGGCAACAGTGACTGTTGTTTGATGGGCATGTTTGTTGGCAAAACTAGCTTGAGATGAGGAGTAAGCACAGAGCAGCCTTTTTGTGAATCTTCAAGAGCCAGCAATCATCACTGATGCATAATGATAGATTAAAGGTGTTGGCATACTATCCCGTCTTTGATTTGCCTCTCACTTGTGTTTCAGATGGCATTTAATGTTTTTGTTATGCAACACTTTCTTCAACTTGATTCCAGCTGACATCTATTAAAATTGTTATGGTCATGAAACAGTAACTGTTGTAGATGATACTGTTGTAGTGGCATGGTTACACAGGTGTTAATTCTGCATTGAAGTATTTCCACTGAGCTGCTTGCTTTTAATAGTAATGTTGCAACAGGCTCTTTAAATTATGGACCACTTCCACTGGTATCAACTCCCTGTCAGGGAGAACCCTACTGAAATGTTAATATTGAATATTCTTGGTTCTCTCCAACAAGATGACTACTCCAGCTAATATTCTGGTAGTGAATGGTTCAGTTTACAGTTCACCAAACTTATACTGTATGCTGCTTTAACAATGATCATGTGTAAATGAGCAGTCATCATTAAAGTCCCTGCTGGATTTCTCGTAGTGCAGTGGTGAAAGGTATGAACAATCTAGCATTTCATGCTAGAAAACAGATGTTCCTATTTAAAGAGAGAATGTTATGAACTTTGCAACTGCAAGATAATGCAGTTCTAATATTTATTGTGCTGTATCTGGCCCTGATGCATGATCAGTTCAAACAGTGTTTTGTTTGCTTCTTTGTGTCTCAGTTTTCAGTGTTGAGATTCTAATGTTTTAATATTCACTGTGTCCTGCAAGTCTTCTCCCCAACAGCTGGGTGGAAGATGATAAGATAAGCAGAACCCAGCCACCTACTCTACCTTGTATATTTCATAATGTATGTTGCTAGAAGTTGTGTTTAAAAAAAAAAAAAAAAAGATTTCAAGTAGGTCTTGGCTATCCTGTTGTCCTATGTCAAACCACAGCATGGACTAGGCAAAGCTTATAACTTGCTTCCAGTCTTTCTTTACAAGTTTTGAGACTTTTTTTAAGGATGTGGTGAGGATCTTTTACATGAGTTACCATATTCTTGTACTGCTCACATACTTCCTTCAGACAGTAGCTGGAAGAGTTGTATTAACAGTTACAGTAACAAATATTCCTGAGGTAGACTTGTAGAATTAACTTTATTGTAATAAAAATATAACTTTTGTTTCACTTCTAGTAGTTCCCATGCATGGTAATGGTAACATTACATTTGTGTTGTAATTATGTCCCTTTCTGGCACTTAGTTAAATCTTAAGGGGAAAATACTTTAAGTACAGCATGCTAAAATCCAAGTAGAATGTTTTAGATGTTTGGAATTTCTGTTATCAGAAGATGGAGTAGTACTGCTGTCCATATCCTGAAATTGACTGCAGGTAGCATCTCTTTAAAACACAGGTATGCAGCTGTTATCAAGTTCAGGCACTTTGGTATACTGTCTAACATCCCTTAAAGTCTTTTGTTATTGTGTGTATACATGGACTACACCCCCAGAGAGAGAAAGAGATGGGGAACTAGAATAAAGCAGATATTCAAGTAACTCCATTACATTCCAGAGTGTGGAAATTGGAAATTCAGTCTTGGCAAACAGACTGCCCCTACACTCTTCAGCCAGCAGTGCTCTCCAGACATTAAGAAATCCACCCAGGGAAGCAGAGAGGTCAGACTTTGGCACCTCTGATGTCACAAACCAGTACTGTTGTCACTTCATCCACTCTACTTTTGTGAACCTGGAAGGCAGGAGTCACCCAGCGGCCACAAGAACACTGCTCCCCCTGCCAGCTGAAGGAGCCCAGCTTCGATGTGCATTTGGGACACAGGAGCTGTAGGAAACACAAGATGACCCATTCTAAAGTCCATTTGCTATAGTCCTACTTTAGTTTTATGGTAACCTTAACTCAGTCACTACCCTCCTTTTATTGCTGCTAACAAGTTAAACAGGCTAACAGCCCAAAAAAAGCTAAAGAGGCAGGGTTGAGGTTGATCATGTGTAGGAGTGTGACAAGCAGCTGAGCTGGCAGACAGGAATGCAACTGGTCAACTACACAGAGTATGAAGTCTTACATCCTGGTTAAACAGCCCTGCAAAAACCTCAGTCACCCTAAGACCAAAACAGGTTTTGAGAGTCCCACAAAATTGCACAACAAAAGAAACACCCATACAGAAGAAAACCCCACCCACCATTCCTGATGGGCACAGAGGGCTAACAAAATTACTTGCTCTTTTTGCTGTAAGTAATTCCATTCAGCATTTGAGAATCTGATTATAAGCTGCAATACTGCATCAGCTAAGGTTGGAAGACCTGGGACCTTGTGTTTGGGAGCCATCATATCACAGGCATATAAACAGTTTGTTCTGCATTGATAAAAAAAAACCTCATCCAGAAAGTTGAAATGCTTGCTCCCCTTCACCTGTCCTTCCAAGACTCCCAGCAATATGGACTCCATCCACTGTACAGGCTCAATGAAGTAAGAGGTACATTTATCACAGCCATGATTATGAAGTTGAGTTGCGTCTGTTATTCTCTTGTGAGCGAAGGCTGTTGGTCCGCTTCCTTCCACGTGGGACAAAATGCTGGAACTACGGAATAGAGAGCGTCTGTCCTCCAGGACAAAAGAGAGAGAGAAGTAGTAGTTATTTATTTTTACTGGGGAAATCAGACTATAATAGATCATGGGGACATGGACCTCTTTGACAGTAAATAAATGGGGATTTTAGACTAAGGTTTTTTTTTTAAAAAAAAAAAAAAAGTGTAAGAGATTGACTGGCACCGATCCCATTTAGGGCTGCTGCTTAACAAATGCAGTCATTCATGTAACCTTGGGCTGTCCCACAGCTATATGTTTTCTTTTATATATATGTATATTTAGACAAGCCCTACCTATAGAAAAACTAAACTCTAAGTACATATATGTGAAAAGTGTCCCTATAACTAGGGAACAAGATTTTTCAATTTCATTTTACATAATCCATGAAAGACATTTAAAACAGTAAAACAGAATGTCTACAACACATTTCTTCTGAGGAAACCTATTTTCAAAAACAAACTATAAGTTTTAAGAGTTTAAGAGCAAGCAACTTCACAGGGCCAAGCAGAATTAATACTGATTATATAAGCATTCTATGATTAAGGTTAGAAGGGGCCTCTAGTAGTCCTCTAGTCCAACGCTCCTGCACACACAGGGTCACCTAGAGCATGTGGCACAGGACTGCATCCAAGTGGGTTTTGAAGATCTCCAGAGTAGACTCCATAACCTCGGCAACCTGTTCCAGTGCTCTGTCACCCTCACTGTTAAGAAATTTTTCCTTAAGTTCCTGTGGAACTTTTGATGCTTCAGTTTGTGGCCATTTCCTCTAGTCCTATCAGTGGCCACCACTGAAAAGAGGCCAGCACCATCCTCCTCACTGCTTCCCTTGAGGTACTTACATACAATGATCAGGTCTCCTCTCAGCCTTCTCTTCTCCAGGCTGAACAGGCCCAGCTCTCTCCATCTTTCCTCATAAGGCAGATATTCCAGGCCCCTGATCATCCCTGTAGCCCTGCTCTGGTCACTCTCCATCAGCTCCACATCCCTCTTGTACTGTGGAGCCCAGAACTGGACACAATACTCCAGATGTGGCCTCACCATGGGGTTATTCCTCCCTGGGTACCTTGCACTTGGCCTTGTTGAATTGCATGAGGTTTTTTACTACCCGTTGTCCAGTCTGTCCAGGTCCCTGTGGATGGCAGCACAGCCCTCTGGGGTATCAGCTACTCTTCCCAGTTTCGTATCATCAGCAAACTTGCTGAGGAAGCATTCTGTGCCTTCATCCAGGTCATTGATGAATAAATTGAACAGGACTGGACCAAGGACTGACCCCTGGGGGACACTGCTAACCCCAGGCCTCCAACTAGACTCTGCACCGCTGATCACCACCCACTGAGCTCTGCCATCCAGCCAACTCCCAATCCCCCTCATTGTCCACTCATCTATCCCATATTTCTGGAGCTTGCCCAGAAGGATGTTGTGAGGGACGGTTTCAAAAGCCTTGGTGAAGTGAAGATAGACGACATCCACCACTCTCCCCTTATCTATCCAGCTGGTCGTTCCATCATTGAAGGCTATCAGGTTAGTCAAGCAAGATTTCCCCTTGGTGAATCCATGCTGACTACTCTTCAGCACCTTCTTGTCCTGCACGTGGCTGAAGACAATGGCCAGTATGAGTCGTTCCATTACTTTTCCAGGGACAGAGATAAGGCTCACTGGCCTGTAGTTGCCTGGGTCCTCCTTCTTGCCTTTTATGAGGACTAGCGTGACATTGGCTTTCTTCCAGTCCTCTGGCACGTCACCCATGCAATCTGGCAATTTAAGCTCCACAGGGGCTGCATAACTTTAAGGAATAGAAGGCTTTGTTTCACAGAGTAATGTCTAATTTCTGTGTTACACACCATATAGAAATTTTCACAAGATCACAGAATCACAGAATGGTTGAGTTTGGAAGGAATCAGATCTAGAGATCTAGTTCAACCTCCCTGCTCAAGTAGGCACACCTAGAGCACACATGGCAGAGGAATGCATGCAGGCAGGCAGTGATTATCTCCAAAGGAGACGCCACAGCCTCTCTGGGCAGCCTGTTTCAGTGCTTTGTCACCTTAACAGTAAAAATGTTCTTCATATGGAGATGAAATAGAGATCTTATCTCTGTGTTTAAAATAGAGACATTCCCATTGAGTTACATGAACTACTTTTTTTTTTTTTCTCTCAAGCGTTTACTTCAAATTTACTTTAATGGGGAATATAAAACATTCAAGTACCTGCATTTTCTACATCTGTAGAGAACCTCTGTGTTTGAAGTTTGACACATACCGGTTGGATCAGCAGCAAAGATTTCTTGGGGCAAGTCTTGAAGCTCTGCAGAATGAACAGTAAGAAGTTGTGAATCAGACTAACAAACCCACGATCCACTTATGAGGTACAAGGCAAGCACTGTGCCATTGCCTTACTACTATTATTATCAGGGAAATGTGGCCCATAATCATGATCACACACAGCCCTTACTCAGCATACCAGATACCAGACATCTTCCTGAGGTACATCCAGTTAAAACACTCACTTAGTGACCGAGGATGACAATACGCGGATAAATAGCGACAATCTTGAAATACAGCACACAGTTCCCAAGATGATCTTAAGTAACTGCAGGAGGAAGACCCCGAAGGGCCTGGTGCTGCCTGCAAGGGCCTGGAGACACATGAGACTCAGCCCACCAGGCTGACCAAAGCAGGCCCTGGGGCATCCCCGCTGGCACCAGCCATTCCCAGAGACTCCTGGAGATTTCTAACCCACTTCAGGGTGCTCCCTGAAGCACTGAATGAGCAGTGAGAGGCCGCTTGCAGGCGGGGTGCTCCCGACACCCCACTCGGCTCTGCCTTGGCTCAGCACTCCCTCCCCAGATACCGGTACTTACCCAAATACTTTTCCATGACCATCTGCAGGCGATACTGCTTGTAAAGGGGGCTGCTCACATCCACGGAGCAGCCCATGGCCTCATAGAGCCGCAACTGCGCCTCGAAGCCCGGGTTCACCCTACAGCCAGGGGGAGAGCAGGGAGCGAGTAACTCGGCTCTGCCTTGGCTCAGCACTCCCTCCCCAGATACCGGTACTTACCCAAATACTTTTCCATGACCATCTGCAGGCGATACTGCTTGTAAAGGGGGCTGCTCACATCCACGGAGCAGCCCATGGCCTCATAGAGCCGCAACTGCGCCTCGAAGCCCGGGTTCACCCTACAGCCAGGGGGAGAGCAGGGAGCGAGTAAGGGCCACGAGAGGGGGCCTGGAACCCGCGGCTACCCTCCGCCCCGGGCACCCACCCGACGTCGGGTTTGGCGGCCCTAACAACAGCGTAGGCCTCTTCCCAGCGCAGCCCCTCGCTCTTCATGATGTAGGCGGTCGCCACGGCGGCGCTGCGGCTC